ATTTCGACCGCGTATATAAAAATAATAAATAATAAAAGACTCTGTAAATATAAAACAAAATGAAATGTTATAATCATGATTATTTTAATTATCTTTATGTTTTAAATTAAACGTTCTTTATTACATAACTGGCTCTTAGCCCTTCAATTGTTCTATTTTTAAAAAAATTTAATTATATTAAATAAATTAATATTTAATATAATTTACTTACACAATATGGTTATTTACTTTTTACGGCTATCCTCTTTTTTCTGCGGTCCTACAGTAATTCGTCCGCAGAAGTCAGTTTTGTTCCGCTATTTTCGATACGCGATAATTTCGTTCCTATGGTCCCATGAAGCGGAATTAACGTAAACGGATCGGCGGTTTACCAATCATACAACTGTTTAGATGAAGGCAAATAAAGAAAAATAACAAAACTCGTTTTATGATTGACTATCCGCCTGATCCGCTTACGCGAATTTCGCTCCATGGGACCATAGGAACGAAATTTTCGCGCATCAAAAACAGCGGAACGTCCGCGATTGGTCAGATTTTCGATACGCGCGATCCGCGATACGCGCGATACGCTCCATGGGACTGCACCCTAACATAATAAACAGATTGTCCTTAGGCCGGAATCAGACTACGCATTAAAGATTAAGGTTGAAGATTGAAGATTAAAATTTGAGGTCAAAGGAATGTTAGCTTCTATTGTTTTGATTGGTCAAATTTCAATCTTCTAATCTTCAATCTCAATCTTCAATGTGTAGTCTGATTCCGGCCTTATAGGGCCAAAAAGTCATAAATTAAAATGTGCACAGAAAGTCAACTAATGTAAAATGAATTCTCGTTATACATCAAATCTTGTTTACAATGTTCAGATAAGCATAGTGTAAAAACTCATTGTCAGATTTTAAATTTAAACTATTCTCTTGCGACTTAATGGGTGCATTCAGTACTATGACCGCTCACTGAGCGCTCAGTGAGCTCTTGTATCTGTTTGGTCTATATTTTTAGTTCTAATGGAATATGCCAATAAGATGCAAGCGCTCACTGAGCGCTCAGTGAATTCTTACATCTGATTGATCTATATTTTCAGTTCTAACGGAATATGCCAATCAGATGCAAGAGCTCACTGAGCGCTTAGTTATAGTACTGAATGCACCCATTGAATGCACCCAATGTGGAGCATTTCAGACACGAGTCTTTTTCCAAGATATCTTTCTCTATCCAAGATGTTTACATTTTCCCAATTGTGAAATCATGTCCGTACTCCAATCTATGTTCCGTAATTACAGTCGGATTACCGGTTTTTTTATGTATTATATATTATTGCGGTGTTCAGCAATCCTCGTTTTTAATTTACGTCCCGTCTGTCCTACGTATGAAGCGTTATAGCTCCTGCACATTGGACGCGAAAAAGCTTACCGCGCGGCAAAATGCGACGCGGTAACCAATGAACATGTCAGGAGCTGTAAGCTTATTGGCTACCGCATCACATTTTGCCGCGCGGCAAACGTTTCCACGTCCAGTGTGCAGGAGCCATTACAGTTCTTACAGCAAATCTTGTATACCACATTCTTATTATATGGAAGTACATCCTTTTGAGATTTAATAATTCCATCAAGTTTATTCATTAAACCATGCAAGTTTGACATTCAGGTTTTTTGTGATGTTTTTAAATGTACCATATAGCTGTGGAAGGAATGGAATTGTGAACCACGTAGTTTTTTCCTAATTCTTTGTAGTGTCGGAATCTGCTTGCTTAAGTGTCTTATGTTTAAGCAAAGATCTTAATCGAGAATTTATTATGTCGAAAATAAACTAACGAAAATAACTTCATGGGATAATCATTTTCCAAAAAGGTATTAACAATAAAATTTAGATTATCTTCATGATACTTTGGATGTGATAATAGTATCGTTTTATCTACAACGCTTATTAGAATACCTCTCTTTTGTGAGAGCGGGTGGAGAGATAAGAAACTGAGATACCTTCCCAAAAAAGTTGGTTTGTGGAATACGTTAAATTCTAATGTGCCATTGTCGTTAATGAGTGTGACGTCCAGAAAATTTAATCTATCCCCTCCAATCTCTAAAAAAAAACTGTAACCTGGGATGTGACGCGTTAAAAACTTCTAAAAATTTGTCGATTAAATTGTGAGGTACATCAGTGGCAATATCATCATTATATCTAAAAAAGAAGGGTGTTTCAAACCGCTCCAACGCATTCCTCTCAAGATTCTGCATAATTAAGTCTGCAATGATAGGAGAAAGCGACGAGAGCCCATGGGTGTTCCAAAATTCTGTCTATAAATCTTGCCATCAAAGGCGAAAAAAGTTGATTCCAATACTAATTCTAATGCAAAAAGCAGTTCTTTTTTGGGGATACTACATGTTCGTGAAATAAATTACCACCTATCAGAAACACTCTTTAACATAAGATCTAATGGTATGTTTGTAAACAAAGATATTACATCTAAAGAAATTAACGAATAATTATTTTCAAGTTTTGAGCCATTAAGTTTTTGTACTAGTTTAAAACTATTTTCAATGTGGCTAGGCGGTTTTGGAATACTGTCATATAGAATGTGATGTAAAAAGTTTGCTAATGCATATAATAGGTTATCAATCGATGAAATAATCATCCTTAAAGGAATCCTTAGTTTGTGAATTTTTGGAAGTCCCTAGGCCAACGGCAATACTCCATCACTGCAGTATATCCTCTTATATGTCGCTGAGTCAATGTATCCTTTTTCTAACCAATACATTAATAAATTGCGGACAGATGTAGTAAAGTTTCTTGTTGGATCCCTCCTTTCTAGCGTGTAGGTACTTTTATCGTTTAACGTATTATTGATAGCATTATTGAATGGTTTCCAAGACACAAGTTTCTCAATAACGGAAATTGAACGATTTCTAACTTCCAACATTACCCAATTTTTTAACATTATTCTCAATACTCTTGATAAACTCGAAACAGTTTCTTTTTGTATTATACGAAGGTAATGAAAATTTACTGCCAAGTTGTAGTAAACTTTGAATGTTTTTTGGAATAATATTATTCGAGAGGTTGATAAACCATTTATTTTTTATCGAATTAAAAGAAAATGCCTTTCTATTTGAGGGAAAGTGGAGGGTTTAATATTAATGTTAGTCACCTCGTTGTTAATAAAGTTAAAAGTGGTTTAAAAGAAAGAGAAACAGAATTGTTATTCGAGTGAGAACAAGAATACTGAATATAGGTTTAATAATAATAAATGATAGGTTTAATATTAGCGATGTAATTGCTATAGTATTTTGAAATCCATCCATTTCATCTTATTTTCAAGATTTTTATGTTCATTAATATAAATCGAATGAAATGCTGTATATTGTTTCGTAAAAAATGAGTCACAAAAGTACGAAGGGATCCAACAAAAAATCTTTCTTGCCAAAATACTAGTCTGTGTTTTTGAATAATGTAATGATCTAAACGAGTCATTCAGTTCTATATTCAACGTCCTATAGACAAAGGAATTTTTTAATTTCTGATATTTATTCCGCATATGTGGTTGAAAAAATTTTAACTCGAAATTATGGATTCTATATAAATGTGCTGGAATAATCTTTTTTTGTAAGCAAAACTTCAAAAATCTAATGCGGACAATGTTCTATAACTATCCAATAATGCCATCAATAAAAAATTAACTGCATTACTAAAATCAACTAAAAGGTTCATGAAAAATAACAAAAAAATTATATTCACAAGAGCAGACAAGGAAATGCTCCACAAATGCTCCTTTAAATCGCAAAAGAATAGTTTAAATTTAAAATCTGACACTGAGTTTCTACACTAAGCTTATCTGAACATAGTAAACAAGATTTGATGTATGACGAGAATTCATTTTACATTAGTTGACTTTCTGTGTACATTTTAATTTATAACTTTTTGGCTCTATAAGGATAATCTGTTTGTTATGTTACAATGCTCAACCTGATATATTTTATGCCGTTACTGTCATTTGAACATGGATACTTTGTACAAGTCGGTCCTCTTAACGATTTATTCATGCGTTTCTAAAATTTTTTTATATTTGGATTATGATTTGCAGCGGGTGAGTCCTTTGATCATTCTATGCTTGGTGTTATTATTGTTATATTATTAATAATTACTTTTCTTCGTTATTCAGTTAGCCATTCAACTAACCGACAGTGATGCTTCTTAAGTTTGAAATTGAAGAGGCTCCCCTAGCTGCATGTTCGGATCTAGCTTTAATAATTTGTAATATTATTTGGACATCATTGAAGATGGGTCGAACTGATCCGAAACGTCCGATTTCATCATGTTTGTAAGTTTATCTATGAAATATATTGTTAACGTATAACGCTTTAATATAACTGCGTCAAGAGTTTTACTCTCAATTGCCTGTATTTTTATTATATATTTCATTGGTTATTCTCGAGAGCTCAATTTTATTCTTAAATTTATTTATGTAATACTTGTATGTTTGTAAGTACAAATTACTAAATTTAGATAATAATGATTCAATATTATTATAAAATATTATTATTCCATATAAGTTGTAAAATTGATGTTTTATTGATGGTAATTGGAAATATTGTAACGTAGATATATACCTATGACCTATAATGTACATGACTTTATAACGCATAAGTAAACAATTATAGATAATATTTAGAAAATAACAATGCTAGGCTGTTGCGTGCCAAATTGTAAAAATTCAGCGGCTCTAAGGGATTTCTTATGAAACATTTTACAAGAAATCCAGACAAAAGGGCTTAATGGGTTGTAAATATTCCACGAGCGAATTGAATACTCACGGATTCTAGCTGTATTTATGAGGTATGATACTTACATTTACTTAACAGCCAACTTCCTAGGCCACTATTCGTAGTCAAATCTTATATTTATTCAGATTAGACTATCTGAAATTTACATTAAACTATCTTCAGATTCTTTGCAGCCAATGAAACGAACTGCATAGTATCTGAAGATACTTATACTAATAATTTATCAAAATATAATTTATACTATATACATGTAAATTCATAATATACATTATTAAATACATTTTCATGACATAACTGAATATTTTTCTCTTTTTCAGGTTTAAATACAAATCTTCATATAATGCATAAAATATAAGAGAATTAATCTAGAGTCTTTTATTTTAGGAAGAAAATGAACCCAAATAACATGCAAAGTCTTTAAGGACTTTGATTGATATACTTTCTTATGCATTATGCGTACAGATGTAAAACAGACGACGGAAAAATTCTAAAAATAGTTAAAAAGTTAAAATATAGTATAATGATTAATATAATTTAATATCGATGGCTATAAATATATTTTACCTTTCACTATTATTTGAATGATGTTTTATATTGTGCTTCAATTTTAAAAGTTAAGTAAGTATTCCATACTGTTATTAATACAAATAATACTTTATTAGATTAATTGACACTGTTTTTGTCGTACACTGTGATTGTATACGTATACTGTATGTTGTACATATTTAAATTTGTGAGACAACGTTCATTGAATCTCTAATTACTCTTGAATCAATATTATATTGGGATGTTGTCTCAAAATAAATAAAATATAGAATACAAAATAATTAAAATATAGAGTACATTTATAACAAATATGCAATAAAACTATCTTATGCTTATAAAGTATTATCTGTATTAATAATATTACTTATTTAGCCTTTAAATATAAAATATCTGTCGTTCAAATAATTATATTAAAATAACTGTATGTTTTTTTCATGAATTTTATGTAATTTGGTCAAAAATACCGTTATTTACAGTAAAAAAACTAGTTTTTTATATGATACTTTTCTCCGAAGTAAAAAATACCGTTTGTTTACATCTCTAATTATGCGTTATGCGATATGCAAAAGTGTGTCTCAAGCTAGAGATTCTCAAGTATTCTCTAAATAAAATCCTAAAGTGTATTCTCTAAAGTATTCCCTAAATAAAATTATAAAGTGTTCTCTAAATAAAAGAATTCTTTAAATAAAATCATAAAGTGTATTCTCTAAATAAAATCATACATGTGTGAACATTGCGCTTTATACATTACGTTTTTTCTCCCTCGTTTTTAGTATGTATCATCTTCTAATAAGTATACTCACAAAATAAAGATGCGACAAACATAAATTTAGCGAAGTGAATATCATATATTCACTTTATGTTCGTCGCGTTATTTTATGTAAGTAGGAATAAAATACGGCCATTGGTTGTGCCATATTCTTGCAACGTCATCATCAACCAATCCCGTAGCGATTTCAATTCGCGCATCTTTTATTTGAGGATCTCTCTACTCTGAGCAGCTAAGTCCGGATCTACAATAGGTGTTTTAAGACTTAAGCAATAAGAAATTGACCAATTACAGTGGAATCCGAGGGGAATAATCGACTGTGATTCGCCCATTTCTTATGACTTAAAACCCTATTGTAGATCCAGGGTAAGAGTAAATTGACGACAGAGTTTGCTAATCTCGATCAGCGATATCTTTGATTTTCTCAATATTTGCCTCATGAGCAACTACACGATGTATACATTTGTTCTTCGATGAATATGTAATGGCTCGTGATTATTTACCGCTTATTTAAATTACGATTAAATTTTTACACACACACACGCACACGCGCACGCGCACGTACGCACGCACGCACGCACGCACGCACGCATTGCACCAACGTTATTTTAAGCGAAGCTTAAAAATCTTCTCTCTCTTTTTTTAAAACTGATAGACAGAAGAAGAGTTTTAAGATGCCTTTTCATGCTGACACTCGACGCTCATTTTCAGCGTCAAAATAGGTCACGTGACCAAAATTAACGCTTGATATTCGTTAATTTCACACGATTTATATTGACGCCGAAAATGAGCGTGGAGCGTCAGCATGAAAAAGTACCTTTAAGCCATGCTTAACTCCGGATCTACAATAGTTTTAAGTCTTAAATCGTAAGAAACTGACCAATTACAGTCAAATTCGAGGAAAATAATCGACTATGATTCGTCCATTTCTTATGGCTCAAGGCTTAAAACCCTATTTTAGCCAATAAGCTTACAGCTCTTAACATGTTCATTGGTTACCGCGTCGCATTTTGCCGCGCAGTAAGCTTTTCCGCGTCCAGTGTGTAGGAGCCATTAAGGTACAATTTCACGAGCTGCTTAAACCGGCTGTTTCAGCAACAAAAAGGATCACGTGGTCAAAATTGACGAATATTATGCCTAATAAGAGAGTCGCCAACATGACACGTGACTTGAATCGCGCACTGATTGACTTGGTGCGGAAGATATATAGGGTGTTTTCCATTTGAAAATTTGTGTCAACTTGTGTTATCAAGTGGAAAGCACCCATAGTCTTCAGGAAAGGTTAACTGTTATCGGCTATTATAACTTGAAAATAAAACAGTGCATTAATTGTAGTGTTGAATTTCATTTCTCTTCCTTTGGTAAGACCGGAATCAAACTACACATTGAAAAGTGAGGTTGAAGATTGAAGATTGAAATTTGACCAATAAGGACAAAGAAATTTTAGCTCCTTTCATTTCGATTGGTCAAATTTGAATTTTTCAATCTTCAATCTCAATTTTCAATGCATAGTCTGATTCCGACCTAAGTGTTTCCATATGTTATATTTAATCGTTCAAACCTTAAAATAGTGTCAATATTAATTTTTGCTTTACATTTTTGGTAGAATAATGTATTACAAAAATTAAAAAGGATTCGGGAAAAAATGTTTCATATATAATTATATATTGTAAAATTATATAAAATTACATAAAATTACATACAATTACATACAATTACATATAATTACATATAATTATATATGAAACATTTTTTCCCAGGTCCTTTTTAATTTTAAACATAGACATATTTTATATATAATTATTATATATATATAAAATACGTCCACATATATAACATTTTTTCCCAGGGAGGTTATAAAGCTCAAAATATCTCTTTTTTGCAGAAATAATAATCAAATATGTGGTACTGTGTAGTTTATCGTTGTAACAGTTACGAAAAAGGTTTTTTCTTGCTAAGATTTCCCAAAGATCCCATATTAAGAGAAAAGTGGCGCATTGCTGATGGAAGGGAAGAGAATTGGAAAGCAACGTCAAATCACTGATTATGCAAGGTAAAACATTTTTTCTTAGTGAGATACTTCATTATAAAGCAAAGTATTAAATACAAATATTAATTATGTGATTGCAGAAACACTTTAAACCCGATGATTGGATCGTTTATAGAAGGCGCAAGAAAAATGCCGTTCCAACCCTTTTTTGTAACAATGTCATATCAATGTTGGAGACTTAAATTCGTCAATCTGTAACAATCTGAATCAAAATTACTTTGAACACAATTTTTTTTCCGTTAAACATTATTTCTGATCTATAATGTAAAGTTCTGTCAACATACTCGTGATTGCTCCATTCATCAAGAACTATTTTCTCACAATAATGTCAACCAGGAAAATATTGGTGAGCCTCAAGTAACAGTAACAACAGAAACAAAGTGGAGTTACAAGATTTTCCATCAAACCTGACAATTACCGATAATGTGGAAACAAACAATCTTTCACTCTGTCCACAAAGTTTACCTTCTATTGCCACTTTCATATCGCAGGAGACTAAGATTAATAAAAAAAAGTATGAGAAGTTGCAGTCAGAGAATAAACGATTGCGCAAGGATTTGCAGAAAGTTAAAAAGATAGCCAAAAATAATAGTAAACAATTGAAAAAAATGGCAAAGGAAAAACATGATCTGAAATCAATCCGTATCCTGTTGGCCCACAAGCAAATTTCAATTGCAGTCCTTTCTTTATGGTTTCTAAATTCCACTCGATTCCTTTCCTTGTTTCAGCCTTTGCGGCTCTTAACTGATCTCCAAATTTACGTTCCAACCATAACAATTCTTTTTCTGTTTTTTTTTCAATTGTTTACTATTATTTTTAGCTATCTTTTTAACTTTCTGCAAATCCTTGCGCAATCGTTTATTCTCTGACTGCAACTTCTCATACTTTTTTTTATTAATCTTAGTCTCCTGCGATATGAAAGTGGCAATAGAAGGTAAACTTTGTGGACAGAGTGAAAGATTGTTTGTTTCCACATTATCGGTAATTGTCAGGTTTGATGGAAAATCTTGTAACTCCACTTTGTTTCTGTTGTTACTGTTACTTGAGGCTCACCAATATTTTCCTGGTTGACATTATTGTGAGAAAATAGTTCTTGATGAATGGAGCAATCACGAGTATGTTGACAGAACTTTACATTATAGATCAGAAATAATGTTTAACGGAAAAAAAATTGTGTTCAAAGTAATTCTGATTCAGATCTGTTAGAGGTTGACGAATTTAAGTCTCCGACATTGATGTGACATTGGCTGCGTTCAGCAGACTCAACAGTTTTGCAACCGTTTTATGATTGTCTGCTGAGATAGGACCATTCTTCTAGATCTAAAAGTATGATCCAATTAGCGCGAAGGAAACTTCCAACAGTTGCAAAACAAACGTTCTGCTGAACGCAGCCATTGTTACAAAAAAGGGTTGGAACGGCATTTTTCTTGCGCCTTCTATAAACGATCCAATCATCGGGTTTAAAGTGTTTCTGCAATCACATAATTAATATTTGTATTTAATACTTTGCTTTATAATGAAGTATCTCACTAAGAAAAAATGTTTTACCTTGCATAATCAGTGATTTGACGTTGCTTTCCAATTCTCTTCCCTTCCATCAGCAATGCGCCACTTTTCTCTTAATATGGGATCTTTGGAAAATCTTAGCAAGAAAAAACATTTTTTGTAACTGTTGTTACAACTGTTGTACAATAAGCTACATAGTACCGCATATTTGATTATTATTTCTGCAAAGAAGAGATATTTTGAGCTTTATAACCTCCCCGGGAAAAAATGTTATATATGTGGACGTATTTTATATATATATATATATAATTATATATAAT